TGAGGGGGAGAGAGGCTGCAAGGAGCGGTCTAGCAGCCAGGTGGTATCATGGTTGAGATGAGTATAACTGTTATTTTATACCCTAGCTGAAAACGAGCACTTAGGTTATAATCTGCCCGGAGTTCTTCTTAAGTCCTGTAATTTGTGAGGTAGAGCCTCTATGGGTAAGACTACTTTTTCCAGCACATCCCACAGATGCTCGATTGGATTGAGATCTGGAGAATTTGGAGGCCAAGTCAACACCTCAAAGTCGTTATTGTGTTCCTCAAACCATTCTTGAACCATTTTTGCAGTGTAGCAGAGTGCATTATTCTGATGCAAGAGGTCACTGCCATCAGAGAATTCCCATAGTGCGTCCTGGTGCCATCTCTTCCCCGGGCAAGCAACGTACAGGCCCCCAATCATCCACATGATGTAAAAGAAAACATGATTCATCAGACCAGGCTACCTTCTTCCATTGCTCAGTGGTCCAGTTCTGATGCTTGTGTGCCCATTGTAGATGTTTTTGGCGGTGGACATGGGCACCCTGACCAGTCTGCAGCTGTGCAGGATCATCTCAACAAATTGCGATGCACTGTGTGTTCAGACACCTTTCTATCAGAACCAACATTAACATCTTCAGCAATCTGAGCTACAGTTGCTGTTCTATTAGACCAGACTACATCGGCCAGCCTTCACTTGTACACTTCAGAGGCCTGCTGGCATTTACAAGTTTAGACATACACATTCTTTGAAGAAATTGACCCCAGGTGAGAAGATAAGCTTCAGGCAAAGCAGCATAGCTGTAAAGGATTGAAAATGGTCAAGAGGCCAGCAGTGCAGGCTATTCATAATGAGTGACAAGAGTGTTAGGGAACTGTTAATTTATACTCGTGTCCTGAGGGGCAAAAACCCCTCATGATCCTTAACAATGGCAGTCAAATTAATTTCCCAGATACAATTATTGTAGCTGATACCATTGAATTCAAGAAAGGAATCTAATCTAATCCAATCCTGTATTATTTAATTTAAGTTTTATATGCCAAGATTGTATTATGATTTTAGATATTCAAAATAGATATACTGTACATATAGCAGTATACCTTTTAGTTTGTTAAAGCACCGTGTATCATAAATAACTGCCATTTTTAAAAATAAAAAAAAAGGTTTTCACCTCTTTTGCATCCTTTGTATTATATCACTGCTAATGATCTTTTGCACTCTCTATTCAACCACTTCCTGTCTGCATGCACTCCCTCCAGAGATGGCTGCATGCCATTTCTCAATGTAGATTTCCTAAAGGTGACAACAGTGGGCCTTGTCTTCAAAATGTCTGTTGAAACAGCTCTTGTGTTCTCCATCAGAAGCCCATTTGACAGGGTGACAATGCAGAAGCACAACTGGGAGATAGGGAAAGAGTGTGGTCACCTTGTAACAGAGAGTGTCTTAATAAGGCTCTCAATCACAAGATAACTAGGCATTATTTTATTGCAGCTACAGCTATAGAAAAAAAAATATTATTGAAATTACATTAACATTTTAAGGTTTGTAGGAGATTGTAGTAATTTTGTTTATATATTATTTCGCCAAGCTATATGGTATGTCAACTTCAGTCGAGACAGGCTTAAATTAAGGCCTTGATAAGAAAATGTTGGTGGCGTTTTTCCCTGGAACCATCCAGCAGGCATGGAAGAAAACAGTAACAAAGACACTATAAATAGATTTGAAAGATATATTGTAAAGAAAGGTCACCTCAACTGGATTTGTTCACTGTAGTAACAGAACCACAGTGCTGACTCAATAACTATGTTTAAGAATATTATAGCTATACAACTAACTGCCTATGGTCATATGCATCAAAAGTTTCATCAACTTTGACTTGAAGAGAGATATTTTCTTGAAACTCTAAAATGGAAGCAGTGGTTCACACAGTATGTAGGTGGAAGAACTAATTTGGATCCACCAAATTAAAGCTCACTGGCTTATTAAACTATACTATAGCAATTTGTACATTGATGTGACATCAGCTGAAAAAATTGCCTATACTTCAATACTTCAATACTAAATACTAGGGATGTCCCGATGCCACTTTTTTAGGCCCAAGTACAAGTACAAGTACATCCCCTCATGTACTTGCCGATACCAATTACCGATACTTTTTCTTAAAGGGACAGGTGACTTTAAATGATCCATAGTACAACTACATGTTATGTACTATGGATCATGGTTTAACCTATTCATGTTAGCAGCGGAGAATTGTAACTCTATTGCTGGAGTGTAGTGGAGGTGTGTGCTGTATATATGTACTACATATACATTACACACGTCCAGTACACTATAGCAATAGATTTACAGCCAGCCCCTTCCAAGCTTCCCT